TTTGGAGGTCTGGGGCGCCTTCGTTTCATTTTCGGCGGGCTGGTGGATCCGGGGCATGCGGACTTCCAGTCAAGCGGTTGCTCAATTCACCTATCGGTCTCACCACTGGTCTGTCGTGTGCAATTGAAAAAAAATCTTTGGAGGTCTGGGGCAAGGACCCGATTCGGCCTCGGGCCCATTTCGGCGTTCGGCCCGTTTCGGCTTCGGCACGTTTCGGCCTCGGCCCGTTTCGGCTTCTGTGCGTTTCGGCTCGCCCCGTTAGGGCTCGGGCCGAGTCGAAACGGGCCGAGACGAAACTTGCCGAAGCCGAAACGAGTCGAAGCCGAAACTCGCCGATGCCGAAACAGACCGATGGAGCCAGAAGGGGCCGAAGCCGAAAACGGACTCTTCCTTGGGAGGCTGGGTATCCCTGTCGGGGTCCATGCTGAGGGGATCGACCTGGATGGTGCTGTGGTCGCACTCCTGCAAGTGAGGATTGGCATCGGGAAGGAGAAGAAGAAGAAGAAGACGAAGAGCAGCGGGAGAAAGATGCGAGCAGAGGATGATGACGAGGAGAGAGTACAGCGCAGCTGCTGGCCGCTGGGGCTCTGGGACTGCTGTTGCGGCGTGCCACCTCCACCCCAGAACGTCGACCGAGAACTGCAAAGAACTAGCACATCTTGCGAAGGCCTTACGGCCGGTACCGCCGACCCTGAGGGCAGGACCTCCCGCGGTACCCCCGCTGGCGCCCCCCTTGGGGCCCGCTGGGACCCCCGGGGTGGGTGGCATTCTGACCCGGAACCCTCCCCCCCCCACAGGCAGGACCTCCCCACTGGGGCCCCCGCTGGCGATCCCCCCGGGACCCGCTGGACCCCAGGAGGGGGCGGACCCCCCTGCACTACCCCCCCCAGGACCCGCTGGGACCCCGGGAGGGGAGGAAGGCATTCTGACCTGGGACTCCACCTCCCCCGGGACCCCCGCTGGCGATCCCCCCAGGACCCAGGGAGGGGGCGGCATTCTGTCCCCGGACCCCCCCTGCCACCCCGGCAGGGAAGTGACAAAGAGAAGGGAAGGGAATCGACATGACTACAGTACACGACGTTCCTTTTCCTTGTTCCGCAGTTTCCATGGGACTGACGGCGAAGACGACGACGACGACGATGATGACGACGACGAGGACGACGACGGCGGCGGCGGCGACGACGAAGACAGCGTCTCTCACACGCCGAAGGGTCGGTGGATTTGCGACGGACAGTCGTCTTAGACTACATCTCCGAATATCGAACCCTCGTCCCATGCGCAGCGCCTGATTATCCCAGTCAGCCTGGAGAAAGCGGCAGGACGACGAGAGTCTTGCAAGTGTGCTGTGCCGTGGCCAGTCATCGAGCTACCTCTCCTCGCCTCTGTGACACCACTGTGATTGCAGCCACCCCCCTGCCGCCCCCTCCTTCCACAGGTGCTGGCCACTGTCTGGGACCTGTCGAACGTGAGCCGCAGCGGGCAGGCCCGGATTTCTGTCCGGAGCGCGGGGGGCGGCTTTGAGCCCTGGCCTTGCTCGCGGTCCCCCTGACTGGGGCTCAAGAGACTCTGGGCCTCCAAGATGGGGTCGAAGTGCACCCTAGGCGATGCTTAAGAAAACTTAAGTTTTCGGCCAGAGTCTCGATTATTCTTAATGTTTCAATGTAAATCCTAAAATTTCAACAGAAATCATGGCTTTTTATTGAAATTATGAGACTCTGAATTTCTTAACCCATGATTTCTTAAGCATTTCGCAGGGTGTAGATGGGTTCGGAAGATCGCGCCACATCGCCGATGCATCGCCGATGCGGAGCCCGATGTGGAGCCCGATGTGCTTCACGTCGACGTCGCCGATGCATCGCCGAAGTCGGCGATGCATCGCTGGTGCATGGCCGATGCATCGCCGATGCATCGCCGATGTATCGGCGATGCGGCGCGATCCTCCGACCCCATCTGCTCTTACCCCATCTAGGAGGCCTCTAGAGGCGGGGGTCAATGCAAACCGGGGGCGGTCAGAGCGCCGGATCTTGCAGGATCCTGCAGAGCCAGGGGTGCAGTGACCCGGGCTTGGGTGCATGATCCTGCAGGAGCCTGCAGGATCTTGCAGGATCCTGCAAGGCCTGACTGACCCGCATTTGCACTGACCCGGGTTAGTACCCATCGGTCGTTGAAAGTAGGTATTTTTGGATTCCCAGATTCCAATCTACTTTCAGCGCCCTCCTACGTCAAGAGTCGAGTGCTTTCCCCTCTTCCCTCCTCCTCGGGAGGCGGGCGGAAACCCAATCTATTTCCGACGCCTTCCTACTTCATGTTTCTACCTACTTCTTCCGACCGATGGGTAAATCCCTGACACGAATGGTTGCCCCCCCGCCTCCGCACTCGCCTGCGGGGGCGTTGCGAGGCGGCTGCGAGGGGCGATTTGCGGGCGCGGATGGACTCACGCCGGGACTGACCCGCATTTGCACTGACCCAGGTCAGTAAATCCCCGACATGAAGGGTTTGCCCCCCCCCGCCTCCGCACTCCCCCCTGCGGGGGCGCTGCGAGGCGGCTGCGAGGGGCGATGTGCGGGCGCAGATGGACTCGCGCCGGGGCTCGTGTCATAGTTCTGGGCCTCTCTCTTGAGGAGGGGGAGGAGGAGGAGGAGGAGGAGGAGGAGGAGGAGGAGGAGGAGGAGGAGGAGGAGGAGGAGATGAGCAGGAAGCTGAATGCAATTAAATGGGCGAGGGGGGAGAGTAGAAGGAGGAGGAGGAGGAGCAGGACATGTCGTCGGGCTCCCGTTGCCCTTCTGCGAGGGAGCCTCGCACATCCCACGTCTTCTAAGCGGACACCAGTTCTGACAGGACGCCGTTGTAATCTCTGCTCGTTTCGCACGGGTAGCGTTTTCGAATATGCCGAACACGTGCAGCATCGTTGATTCCCGCTCATGTGTGGAGACGATTGGAGGGCCAGCGTGCCATGTGCAGTTGCAGCCCGAGCGCAACACTCCAGGCCGTTCGCATCCATCCCAGGGTAAGGACTATCCAGAAATGGCCCGAACTATGCACGACGTGGCACAGCCTCACTGGACGTGATCAGTGTGTGGGCTACATCCCCTGCTGATTAGGCGCTGTTGTGAATGACCACGGCGTTTAGGCAATTCTATTCCTCCTGCTCCTCCTCCTCCTCCTGCTGCTCCTCCTCCTCCTCCTCCTCCTCCTCCTCCTCCTCCTCCTCCTCCTCCTCCTCCTCCCCCTCCCCCCAAAAAACCGGACCTCGCCGATCCCCGGCCCTGGGACCCCCTCGGACGCCCCTGCAGGGGGATCCCCAGGCCTGCCGCCTGGACGCCCAGAGCTGGCCGCCAAACGGCCCGCGAGAGCTCCGAGCGGTCCCAGACACCCACCAGGCGCCCGAAGACGGCCCGATGAACACCCCCAAGAGCTTCTCGGAAGGCAAGGACATTGTCGCCCCACAATTGTTGTAAGATTTCTGCATGCTCGGGTTATCGGTCTTCTGGGCGTCCGAGACCGCAAAAGAGGCCCCGAGATCGCCCGGAGACGATGCAAAAGGGCCCAAAGACGGCCCAACCGTGCCCCAATATGGTCCGACGAGAGCCCTATGACGGCCCCAGATGGCCCCAATACGCCCCTCGAAGCGCTCCAAATCGTGACCAGCTCGTTGAGGGAGACAGTGATTCGCAGCTAGATGGCCCGAGAAAGCTCCGAGTGGTCCCCCGAAAGTGCCCAGGAGGCTTCTGGAGGCCCCGAAGAAGCCCTTAACAAGCTTTCGTGGGGACCCACATGAGGCCCTCCAGGGAGGAGCCTCCGCAAAATGAACTCAGGAGGACGAGTCAGGGTTCGCAGGGTCATCTGGGCGAGAACGGGCAACAGGCAGAGGAAGGATGAGGGACGGACAGGGAAGAACACGATCAGAACGACGATGGCGAAAACAGCAACAAGGAGTCATCGCCAGTTATCTTGTCTTGCTTTGCCGCTCCCTCGCTCCCCCTCCCGTGCCGTGGCTTCCCTTGTTGCCTGCCCCGTGCGGCTCCGACGATGCCTGTCGGTGCCGGGCCGTGGCCGAGGCTCGCGGCCAGGAAAGCCCCGCCGTGCCCTGTGCGGCGGTCCCTGGAGCAGCACGGTGGCTGCACTCGGCGTGACACGGGCCAGGCTCCCTGCCAAACTGCCAGGGAGGTCTTGCTCCTCCTCGGAAGCTGGGAACGAGCGGCGTCCTCTCCCGCACCCCTTCGGGGCCTGGCGGCGGGGAGGCGGGGCCGATGACGAGGGAGGAGCGAGCAGAAGGCGGAACAGGGAGGAGCAGGAGGGGGAGGAGCAGGAGGAGGAGGAGGAGGAGGAGGAGGAGGAGGAGGAGGAGGAGGAGGAGTAGGAGTAGGGAGGAGGAGGAGGAGGAGGAAGAGGAGGAGGAGGGGGAAGAGGGAAAGGAAAACGACGGGGAGAAGGGCGACAATGCCGAGACCGACGGAGGGGGGGGAACAGGCAGAGGAAAGATGAGGGACGGACAGGGAAGAACATGATCAGAACGACGATGGCGAAACCAGCAACAAGGAGTCATCGCCAGTTATTTTGCCTCCTCCTCCTCCTCCTCCTCCTCCTCCTCCTCCTCCTCCTCCTCCTCCTGGAGGGTATCGGAAAACATGCTGTTTACACGGTTTCGTGTCGCCCACTCCTCCCTCCAGAGAGGCCGCGCTTGAACGAGGAGGGTCGCGGAAAGCATTACTCTTCGCCAGGTTTCGTAGCCCTCCCCCCTTCCACCGGGGCCCCGCCAAAGCGAGGAGGGCATCAAGAAAATGGGTCCCACGAAACCGTTAATCTCTTTATGTGGGGAATTCCGTTAGCATAATTTGTTTTGCTTTGCCGCTCCCTCGCTCCCCCTCCCGTGCCGTGGCTTCCCTTGTTGCCTGCCCCGTGCGGCTCCGACGATGCCTGTCGGTGCCGGGCCGTGGCCGAGGCTCGCGGCCAGGAAAGCCCCGCCGTTCCCCTGTGCGGCGGTCCCTGGGGAGGAGGAG